GCATTTTTGAACTTTAATGGCATCCCAGTCTTAGTCTATAGGGCTCAATATTGAGTTGGCCCACCCTTTGCAGCTATAACAGCTTCAACTCTTCTGGGAAGGCTCTACAAGGTTAAGGAGTGTGTCTATGGGAATGTTTGACCATTCTTCCAGAAGCGCATTTGTGAGGTCGGGTACTGATGTTGGAGGAGAAGGCCTGGCTTGCAGTCTCCACTCTAATTCATCCTAAAGGTGTTCTATTGGGTTATGGTCAAGACTCTGTGCAGGCCAGTCAAGTTCATCCACCCCAAACTCGCTCATCCATGTATTTATGGACCTTGCTTTGTGCATCGGTGCGCAGTCATGTTGGAACAGGAAGGGGCCATCCCCAAACTGTTCCCACAAAATTGGGAGCATGAAATTGTCCAAAATGTCTTGGTATGCTGATGCCTTAAGAGTTCCCTTCACTGGAAATAAGGGGCCAAGCCCAACCCCTGCAAAACAGCCCCACACCATAATCCCCCCTCCACCAAACTTTACATTTGGCACAATGCAGTCAGATAAGTACCGTTCTCCTGGCAACTGCCAAACCCAGACACGTCCGTCGGATTGCCAGACAGAGAAGCATGATTCATCACTCCAGAGAACACGTCTCCACTTCTCTAAAGTCCATTTTCTTTACACCACTGCATCCGACGCTTTGCATTGCATTTGGTGATGTAAGGCTTGGATGCAGCTGCTTGGCCATGGAAACCCATTCCATGAAGCTCTCTATGTACTGTTGTTGTGCCAATCTGAAGGCCACACAAAGTTTGAAGGTCTGTAGCTATTGACTCTGCAGACAGTTGGCGACTTCTGCGCACTGTGCGCTCCAGAATGCGCTGATCCCGCTCTGTCATTTTACATGGCCTACCCCTTCGTGGCTGAGTTGCTGTTGTTTCCAGTTGCTTTCACTTTGTTTTAATACCACTAACAGTTGGAATATTTAGGGGTCTATTCACGAAGCTGCCGAAGGATATGGCCGTAGCTTCGGCCGATCCTCCGGCTAGCTTCGGCCCCAGTTCTACTGAACCGAAGGGGTGCTGTACAGCTCCCGATCATGGCCGAGCGGCTCAGCCAAGCCGAACGCATATGCATCGGCTCGGCTGAGCCGTGCTGAAAGCCGAAGCTGGCCGAGCGGCCTGCTTCTGACAGCTGGGCGGAGCCAGCCGTGATCTTACGGCTGGCTCCGGCCACTTGCAGTGAGATCAGCGTCCCTGGTTACCTGCTAACCAGGGACACTGATCTCCAAACAGCAAACTCTCCCTGGCGCCCCGGGAGTCTCCTGCTCCCGGCCGCCAAGGAGAGAAACAATGCTGTGTCCTTTTTTCTTTATTCTGACACGATCGATGTCAGAATAGACATCCCCATCAGGTCCATCAGCAGAGGGTGGGAACAATGCTAGTTTACTATTGGCTATTGCAAATTGAAATAGCCAATAGTAATGTCCCAATGCTTTTCAATGGGAAAATTTAATTTTTTTTTTTTCTATTCTGACATTGCTCGTGTCATAATAAAGAAAAAAGGACACATCAGTGCTTCTCTCCTTGGCGGCTGGGAGCAGGAGACTCCCAGAGCGCCTGGGAGAGTTTTTTTGTTTTTTTTTACAGCAGCAGAGCCGCCGGACAATAGGAAACTATTGGGCGGAGCTAGCTGTCACTGCTAGCTCCGCACAATCGTTTGCTATTTACTTTTTAAACTTTTTTCACTGTTTTTCTGTTCTGCTCGGTACCTCTGAGGGACCGAGCAGAACAGCCGAGCCGAATGCCGCTCAGGATCTTTAAGAATAGACCGAACAGCCGTGAGAAGCCTGCCGGAGGTTCGGCTCAGCCGATCCAGATGTTGGATCGGCTGAGTCGAACTCCTTCTGCACTTCGGCCGACCCGAAGCCACACGCAGCAAGCCGATGTACGGCTGATTTCAGCCGATGTATGGCTGAAATTAGCCGTACCAGCCTGAAGTGAATAGCCGAACAGTGTTCGGCTCACTTCACTTCAGATCGGTCATTCACTCGGCTGCCCTCGGCAGCTTCGTGAATAGACCCCTTAGTAGCAAGGAAATTTCACGGATGGACTTATTGCGCAGGTGACAACCTAACACGGTACCACGGTTGAGTTCACTGAGCTCCTGAGAGCGACCCATTCTTTCACAAATGTTTGTAGAAGCAGTCTGCATGCCTAGGTGCTTGATTTTATACACCTGTGGCCATGAATGTGATTGGAACACCTGAATCCAAGGATTTGGAGGGGAGTCCCAATACTTTTGACAATATAGTGTGTACAGTACTGTATAGTGATATGTATATAGTGATGTACAGTACTGTGCAAAAGGTTTAGGCAGTTTTAAAAAAAATGCTGTAAAGTAAGAATGCTTTCAAAAATAAATATTTTTATTGTTTATTTTTATCAATTTACAAAATACAAAGTGAGTGAACAGAAGAAAAATCTAAATCAAATCAATACTTGCTGTGACTACCCTTTTGGCTTCAAACCAGCATCAATTCTTACACTTGCACAAAGTCAGGGACTTTGTAGGATTAGAGTCAGGTGTATGATTAACCAATTAAACCACGCAGGTGCTAATGAGTCATCAATTTCATATGTAGGTTGAGACACAGGGGTCTATTCACGAAGCTGCCAAGGGTCTAGCTGTAGCTTCGGCTGATCCTTCGGCTAGCTTCGGCCCCAGGACCCATTCGGTTCAGCAGAACCGAAGAGCTGCTGTACGAGCTATTCACTATAGCCTGTACAGCTCCCAAGTCAGGGACTTTGTAGGATTAGAGTCAGGTGTATGATTAACCAATTAAACCACGCAGGTGCTAATGAATCATCAATTTCATATGTAGGTTGAAACACAGGGGTCTATTCACGAAGCTGCCGAAAGATCTAGCTGTAGCTTCGGCTAGCTTCGGCCCCAGGACCCATTCGGTTCAGCAGAACCGAAGAGCTGCTGTACGGGCTATTCACTATAGCCTGTACAGCTCCCAAATTCGGCCAAGCGGCTCAGTCCAGCCGAAGGCATCTGCTTCGGCTCGACTGAGCTAAGGTGAAAGCTGAAGTTGTCCGGCCGACAGCCTGCTACTGACTGCTGGGCTCTGGCCACTTGCACAGACAGATCAGCGTCCCTGGTTACCAGGGACACTGATCTCCAGACAGCCCAACTCTCCCGGACGCTCCGGGAGTCTCCCGCTAATAGATAGCGGCTCCCGTCTGCCCGGGAGAGAAACACTTTCTCCCAGAAAGGTTTACTCTGCTTGATCGAGCAGAGTAAACCTTTCCCTGCTCAGTTTCTTTTTGTTTTTTTCTTCTGACATTGGAATCGTTGGCTGTCCTCAGAATAAAAAAAAAATCACCATAGAAATGCATAGCTATTTCATTTTGCAAAAGCAAACTAGCTATTGCACCCGCCGACTGCTGCTGTCAATCACTAGAGGGGACCTGATGGAGAACTTCAGGTCCCCTCTGCTGATTGTTCACGCTCGGCGGCATTTGACTATTCACTCACTGCTGTTCGGATTACACAGAATACAATGTAATCTGCTATAATTACATATATGTATCAAACTATTTCACTCCAATTTTGTCCCTAGAGGTTTGTCCAGTGTCCTGCCTGCACTTTTACTGTTCTTTCTGCCTGGAAACTTGTGAACGTCCATGGCATCCAAAAAGCGTCCCTTTAGGTAAAAAGCGGTAGAACCAGGTAGAAAACTCCAATAGTGAATTAGAATCACTTGCAGAATTGAGTGATAGCGATTCGTTAGGAAATTCGTCATCAGACACTGAAAGTGACGAAACTGGTCTATTGGACTCTTGTTTGGACGGATTTAGGTGAGTTATTCCTAAGATTTACTAAGAATTACAGCCCTGCAATATAAAACAACAAATTGCCATGAAAAACAATGTACCGCTTTGGCATGCTAAAATCCTGCATAATCATACTGCCAAGCAAATATTTAGATGCTTCATATAATAATAATGCAATTGCAATTATTGGTAATACCATTCCTATCAAATAATAATACCGTATACTACATTGTGAACTCTTATTGTGAGCTCTTTTTCCTATGATGAGCCAAAGAAAAAAGTATCATGGACAATGTTTCTTTTGTCGATTGTTAAGCTTCAGACATGACAACTCCATCAATCTCAGTCTAACACAGTCTGGTACCATGGTTAGTCCTTATCTCATTGTTGTTGTTGTCTGGTACCCCCATAATTTACAACCTGGGAATGTATGTGGTAAGGCTCTGGGAATTGCTGATGTTAGAGTCTTTGTCCAGAAACTAAGAACTCAAATTCACCATATATACTGATACAATATAAAGAACAAATATGGCTTCCAGGATCCCTATATTATATTATGTAGAACAATAAGTATAGGCCTTATAGTTTAATTCCACCAAATGTTTCTGACACAGTAAATGTATTTTTGTTTAGTGCAAGCAGTCAGTACTTGAATTTGACTAGGTATCAGCCTCTTGCAGTCCTTGTGTAGCAGACCGAGGAGGGAGAAGCAGCACAATCAGGCAATCAGGAGGAATGCAGTGCAAGGAGCATATTGATATGGGGAGAGAACAGAGTGACAGAGAGTTGAGCTCATCAGCCTGCTTCTCCTTTCATTGTCTAGCCACAGAGTAGAGGTGGGGATTAGCTGTGTAGTTGCAAGTGAAACTGCAGCAGAAAAAAGTCCTTTCCTCTGCCATGTAGGACTATGCTGTGTGGCAGAGCTATATATATATATATCAAGACTGAATGTGAATGGACTTTTGTAGGTAAATCAGCGTACTTATATTTATTTCATCTGTGTGTATAAATCAGCTACCTTCAGTTAGTAACCAGGAGGGACTTTTAATTTCTCTTCATAAAACAAAGCAAAAAGTAATTCAATATATAATGTAATCGGCATTGTAAAATATAGCTTTTGCAAAAGAAAATATGTTACTTTAGTGTCAGTGTGCTAATTTGATGTTTTCTTTGTTTCAGATGAAGTTGCCAAGTTTCATAGTGGACCCTCAAAAAAGGCTTATATGGAACAGAGCTTCCAGGGACTGAATCCAGTATTAAATATACCAATTAATTCCATACAAGTGGAACAAGCAAAGAAGAATGCAGCCCTTGTAGGTTTTAAACTGGAAAGCTGGGTTGACAGCTTAGCAAGCAACATCTGGTCAGCAGTTGACATCTGCACCACAGGACCGTCCTCCTGTCCAGTCATGCAGTCCTGCTCCCAGACTGCATGGAGCTCACTCAGTCCTGACCCCAAATCCGAACTTGGCCTTGTCAAACCTGATGGGAGATTGAGGTAGCATTTGGTACACCCTTCAGTGGCATGGGATTTAAAAGGGAAATTAAACCATAAGTTTCACCAATCTACAAAAAAATTAAAATTATGAGCAAAGGAAAGGGTTTACTGCTTTGTGGAAGCAAAAAGTTATCCATCGGCATAGGTGTTTTAAAAAGTCCTTCCTTGATGTAATTGTGGGTTTTTCCTTACTTTTGGATTGATAGCACTTCCCTACAATTGGCAGGGCGCTGACAACGGATGCTGATAAAGGGCTCAAATGCGCAAAAATGTCACATATTATAGAAATTATGAGATGCCCCTTTGCACAAATGTCTTCTATATTTTTCTACTTCCATGTATTTGTGTGTTTGTCATTGTTAATAAGAAATATAGAAATATACTAACAAGGAGTTTTTCATATGCCATTTTAGGAACATGGTTTCTTTATTGCATTGTAAGGAATTATAGTGACAGATGGCCTTTTAACGACTCCTGTGTTGCCAAAGAAATGCAAAAAGGTATTGCAGTCAGCCCTGGCAGCCAAAGGGTTTTATTATATAAATATTCTCTTTCTGAGCTTCTTGCAACCTGTAAGGGATATAATGTAGTTGTACATGCCCATTGGCAATCAGACATCGGCTTTCATTCATCTCATGCTATGTTAATTAGAGCCAAGATATGGTTAGTTGACAGGACTTGGAAGATTTGTTGGTTATTTGCACAATGGTGTGTTAAGTAAACCATAACATGTTATGATGTAGGTGACCTTCTCCCAGGATAACATATAACCTCTTCTTGGCCCCAAAGTAGTGGTTATCAGTGGCAACCTAGTGCAGAGATATCTTTTTCAAAGGTTGAACTAATATTTATAAAAGGTAATTTATAAAGAGACTATGCTTCCATGATTGGTCCCTGTTAACACATTTTAGTCATGATGTGCCTATGTGATGTCTCTTATTCTTAGAAATCATATGGTTGTGCCACAATAAATATTGGTTCAGCAAATTAAATGGCAGCCTCTAAGATTTGTTGAGGACACATTTATTTATTTTTAATCAATGATTGCGCACTGGCAATACTGAGCCACAATCTACTATTTTAAAGGGAGACCACATAGTGAGTATACATTATTTTCCCAGTTGTTGACTGCATTACAGATACATCTGTATCTCTCTGGTACAGATGCTTCTGTGATTCACAAGACTGGCCACATGGCACATTTTAAGTCATTATATAGTTTCTTCGTGGTTAAAATATTTGCACTGGAAGCTCTTTGTAGATTACCCTGGCTGGCTGTAAAATTTGGTGAAACTGCAAGTTGCAGTGTACAAAAACTTGCTTTCTTTATCATCATTTATTATTTTAAAAAAACTAAAAGCAGTTATAGGCATTTTTCTGAGGACATCTTCTGCTGTATCCAAGGGAAATCACAATAAAATTGCAGCATACAGTAGTTTTTAATGCTCTAACGCTACTGTGTGAATCAAGTAATTTAAGAAATTGTTTTTTGATTGTAATGTGTTTTTAATTGTTCAGGGAGCGAACGAGCAGGTATGTAGCAAGCTGAACTGGGCCTGTTGGTAGAAAAATGTCTCTTAAATTTTTATTCCATAATGGGGTTTATTGGGTTTACTGTATTAGCAAGGACCAAAGAGAGAAATGTCTTCCTTTTCCCTGTGTCAAAGGCCCATGTCTGTTGATACAGCTTCCCCAATCAAAAAGAGCTTCCAGCTGCTAAACATTTGACCCTTCACCACCAAAAAAGTGCTCTACTTCGTTGAGTAGCTCTTTGGCAGCCATTGTTTTCTTGTGTGATTATAAAAGGCTATACATTGTTCTCTCAAAATTAAAAAAAAGACTGTAAACATGTAAGCCAGTGGAAGGACCCTTTCCTCAGTACTACATTATTATTAATTTGACCATGATATGCTGTTACTTTAAACAGGTTGAATTCCCTTTTTCAGCATAGCAATTTGTAATCATGTTTGATTACTGATCTTGATCACATGACTCCTACAAATGATCCTGAGAATTCTGTAGTGTTAGCTGTGCTGACACCTAAAAACCAGAGGGTTATGGCAGTGCAGTGTTGCCACCTCTGGCAAAATAGTAACATATAAGTAGTAATGTATGTATTCTAGATATTTATTATTTATATTTTTAGTCAGTGACTAATTAGTAAGTGCTGCTTTTGCAGCTTAATGTTTATCTTACTAACTATAGCTGCCTTTCTTCAGTGAAGGCGGGGCGCTTTGCATTTAATGTTTTATCCTCTAGAATAGAATACCAGTTGGTTTTGCTTAGATGTAATCTAATCATTGAATTACATTGTTATATTACCATTAAAGGCTGTACACTTAATTTTATTCAATGATATGTTCTTCACCGTAATTATTCTGCTATAATGCATTAGGACAGAGACCTCCAGTGAATATCCACAAGTTCCCTTGGGACTTAGTTTCAACTCTTGACTGCCATGATTCCTGTAGGTATGCTGTTACAATAATCCTTTGCACAGGTCATGTAGGATAAAACTTGTTTCAGATAGAAAATGGATACAATCTAAGTACACCTGTATATAAACCTTGTCAAACTTATTTATCAAAGTAGGACACATGTAAAAATGATAAGTGCAGTAGTTAACAGACTTTAGTTTAATTAAATCAGACCAACTAAAACAGAGTAAGTACTTTAATGTAATAAGTCAGTAAAAGTTACAAAACAGTGGGTTCACTGGTCAGTGCCTATCCACAATGTTCAGGCTCCAACTATCTTATTTTCTAAGCAGTTTTTGTGTGTATTTAACTGAATTAGAGGGTAAATACCATGTGTTGCAGTTAAAAAAAATTTTCTCTCTAGACATGTGTCAGGACAAATTTCTCCCTGTGAAAACACACCACAGGGGCTGCATGTAACATTCCAGGCAAAAGTGGACACACTACCTCTGCTTTTAGCTAAAAGACAAGAAAACAAAGCCGTGTAAGTTGGCCCATGGTGTCTTTTTCCACCATCTTAGTGTACGCTTTTTTTCTTTAGGTAGCATTATGAAAAGTTAGGAGATGTGGAATAAAGACCAGACTAGAAAACAGCAATATCAGGAGTTATGCAGCTAATACCAGAACATGTGCCTGGTTGAATTGGATAATTGAATAGTAAGACATTGCACAGACAGAAATTAAGATGCAGAGTTGCAACGGTTCTAAACAAGCGTGTGATTGAAATAAAAGAGTAAGTGGGCAAGGCAAACTTTGATTTTAAAAAAACAGCTTGACATTGAAGGTGAGCACATAATAACTAGCATTGTGGGTCTGCCACAGTTTGACCCAGTGTAATTAATTGCACAGGTCCTACAGAAAACAGCCATGAGTATGAGCATTTATGAGGTGAAAGACATCCTCATTTGGGAACATACTCTATGTACATATAGTATACAGTGTTAGGGTTAAATTAGGAAGACAGTGTTCTCTCTGACCTTTTTTTAATTTGATCCAATAATTTTTATTTTTTTTGCTAGGCAAGATATGCATTTGTTAATACACAGCTGTTAACAAGGATAGGATTTAATAACTTTAAGACCATAATGGGTTGATTTACTAAAGGCAAATAGGCTGTTCACTTTGCAAGGTAATGTTCTCTTAGCTTAGTGAATGTGGTGAAAATTCACCTTGCAAAGTGTGCCCAATCACATGCAAGGGAAAAAAAACAGTGGTTTTGCTTATACTTGATTGGATGATGTAAATCAGCAGAGCTTCACCTAATTCACTAAGCTAAAGGGAAAATGCCTTTGCAAAGTGAAAATTCCCTTGCTAAGTGAAACTTCCCTTGCAAAGTGAACAGCCTATTTTCCTTTAGTAAATCAACCTCGATTAAAATAATCTATCTGGCTGCTTAAAAAAATCTAAATGGATCAAACATGATGATCATCATTCTCCCTTTTACATTGTCATGGATGTAAGGTTTGTATCTTATAATTAGGTAACACTTTTAAAGTAATTACAATCATGGCAGTGCAACTTGCATATGTTGTAAAACTTTATCATATACTAGTTTTGAACCTAGATTATCTTCCCAGTATCATGAGAACTGTTTCTTCTTCATACCCCTTTCTTCTGGCCAAGTGTATTTTCTTTGACTTTTAGTGACTAGTGACATCAGTATAGGGCACGTTACTATATGTAAAATGGCCAATAATAAAGGATGGTGAAAGTGAGATATGTCACAGAGTGATGTGATGTGTACAGTGTTTATTTTTTAACAGATTAATTTGTAAACATCTGATATTGTTTCAGCTTGTGCTGTAAGTGTAGTCATTCAGTTTTCAAACAGTCTTTTTCCTAAATGTAAATAGGAGTTTCATCCTCGTGTAGTGTACAAGCTGCATTGATTTGCCCAAGGGTGCTACCACCAGTGCTACCTCTCAACATTCTCACACAGAAGAAGTCCTACATTAACTACAATGATTTGAATGTATGAACTATGCAAACTGTGTCCTATTTTTTCACCTTGATCACCTTTATCATGGAAAAGCTTGGACGAGTTAAAAGTTACCTTGCCTTATAAACAGCAAGATCCTGTACAGGCTTCTCTGATAACAGAGCGAATATGTTTGGCGCTGTTCAGAGTGCTATATTTGTACATTGTAATAATGTCATTTTTTTAAAAGCTTGATCATCCAGTGTTTGTTATAATACTATGCCCTTCAACATCTTAAACTTTTTTTTTGTCTTAGGAGGTAAAGCAGAATTCCAGCTAAACAGGTATATACAAATGAGCGGTTTTATCTGTCAAAACATTCGGTTGAGGCACTGTTCTAGCCAATCCTGTCACACTGTATAGTCAGGAGCGTGACACTACTACTCAAAGTCTGCAAAGCTTCCGCCTGAAGTCTTATCTGTGCTCCCCATCCTGTAAGTCTGTCTGCTTAAATTCTTCCACTATAATCTACCATTACCTGAGACATGATAGAATGACAACATTTTGTAGTGCAATGGAGCTTGATGGAATCAAAGAGCTGGTATTCCC